CCCCCCCCTGCATCCCTGCCAGTTCTTAAACTCAGTAACACCCTCTGAGCGTGAGCACCACATTCAAACCGAAAATACCTGAATCTGCTTCATGTGATGGGCTTGAAGACCGTTGCTTTCAATTTCACTAATGTCAGTTTGTCCCTTCATTGAAGGAGAGGCAAAACCAAGCACTCAGACTCCTGCACATCATAAGTCATATTTTCTGCCTCCACTATTTCAACAGGTTTGGTCAGGCTAGTACCTCAATAGCAGATACACAACCAAGTCTCTTGCTCAGAAATTAACTCTATTTGCTGTATGCTGCTTCCTTTCCTCCCGAAATTTCAGCCACAGTAGAGACTGTGGTCCATAACCAAGGTCCCTTGGAGACTGCTGATCAGAAAGAGCAATAAAGCATTGACAGATGTAGCATGCAAAGATTTTAGCTTACGCTTACATGACCTTCTCATAAACACCATTAAGTTGTTTTGGACAGGTGCCACACTTGCAGTATGCACAGGAAAATTTCCTGCAAGAGAACCATTACAAGTTCTTCCTGATAGAGTTGAACAATATTTCATTGGGGAGAAAACGGGAAGAAAAGTAAGGTCATGGTGAAAGAAAGAAAAGTAGCAAAGCGGAGACTGCTGTTTTTCAATTCAAACACTGTGATGCCATGAAGGATCAGAAAATGCAGAAAAATAAGATACAGTAAATATGAAAGAGGACTCTTTCTCTACAGCTGGTTCTGGATAAAAAGCTGCATGTCACGTGAAACCCTGAATTCCTAGCCCCAGAAAAACGGAATACCAAAACGATCTGTTACACCTATAGAAGAAACAGGTTTATCTCACAACAAAGTAGTATACTCTGCTGAAGACAATAATAATCTGCTACAGCATATCTCAGACAAGGATTTCCAATCAGCAAATCTGCCTTTGAAGACAGTAACAACATATGGTGAATTGCACGGGAGTGGACAAGTAAAATAACTTTCCTGGTCTAAAAAAAAAAAAAAAAAAAAAAAAGAGAACATCATCTATAGCATCCAAAAGTTGATTCTGTTTATACTATCCTAAAAATGAGTTGCCTCAGTTGCAAGGTATATTTATAATCAAGTAAACTACACTGCTTTGAGAGTAGGCATGGGTACACAGAATGTAAGGGAAGGGAACGAGGTCTCCAGAGCTCTCAGATAGTCTCTGGCCCCTGCAAAGATAATGTCTGAGAGGCACTGCAAACGCAAGTCTGTGGACAACCTAGAGGAGAAAAAGAGCGAGAGGTGTGAACTGCCCTCCTTCCTTTTGAGGCTGTAATGCTTCTGAGGTGTAGACACACCGGTTTAAGTGTCAGGATGGGTAACTATTTCACTGCTGATCAGAACCTGCAAGAACGTACAGCGCTTGCTGAGATAACACCAGGGAAACTTGCTATGATGGGACCACGTTTACGATCTCATAAAGCTGTGTTTGGCTTGTCAGTAGAGTGTCCTGCTTCCATTTCCATCCTCTTCAACCCCAACTGTTGTCACAGCAGTAAATGAAATCAGACTTTAAAGCCTCCCGTTCCTATCAGCTATATAGTAATTCATTTCAGACCACTCTTAAAGACAACAGTCTAAGAATTAAGCTTTTATCTCAGAAGTACTAATAACAATACAGGAAATAGTGATGCCTCCCAGCATTCCTCCTGTAGGTTGGATTGCTCCTGACCCAACCTTGGCTTAGCACCGATATTTGGGAATGGTCAGATGACTGAGCACAGGCAGGTCAGTGTGTCAGTGCCCCCCAGGTGAGCTGCTGCATGCTGCTAACCCCCTACTACTCAAAACCATGTGGGTTAGCTTAAAAAACCACCCTCAATGGTGATTTAACAAATCCATCTGAATCTGCATTTAGCTGAGAGGCAATGACTTTTCTAAATGGCTGTGTTAATTGGTTACAGTCCTCTGATCCTCTCTCCCTAAGTGAGCTGAGAGGCAATGACTTTTCTAAATGGCTGCGTTAATTGCTTACAGTCCTCTGATCCTCTCTCCTTAAGTATCCTCGGTGTGGGCAGAATGAGTATATGACACCCTTAAAATCTGTAGGGCTGTCCTTGCAGGGAGTGAGTGTGGAAAATGCATATTACATGACTTTGGAGTCTAGCAGCATACACTTACCCCAAGTAATTCCCTGTCCCAGCTCCCCTCCTAAGTTTAGCACTGCCTCAGGAGCAGTAAAAAGAAGCTTTAGGCTACAGCTCAAAGCAAGTAACGTTCCCCATGCTATCTCCTGTTGAGATGAACAACTTGAAGATGTCAAGATACAAAGCCAAACATGAATTTTGAGCCTAGGATTACAACTTGAAGATGTCAAGATACAAAGCCAAATATGAATTCTGAGCCTAGGATACTAAATTTGGTAACTAAAAGTCATCAAATGCTCTATTATATTCATGCGTTAAGGAGTTTAATGTGCACAGAACACTGCACCTGGAGCAAGCACTTCTTCCAACAGAAGTGATGTGATTTTACTTCCTCATGCTGATATTACGACCAGTTGTTGCCAGCTCTCAAGAATTTAATACAAGTTACAAGTCTTGAGATACTGATTGGTTTTTGCCTTTTTTTTAAAACATACACACGTATGGAGACAGATAATTAAACGAGAGTCTTAGTTTTTATTTGCTGGGGCAAGGAGAGGGAAAAATGACAAGTCTAATTCTCAAAAGGGCTAGAGAAAAGTTAAAAAAAAACAAAACAGCCTCAAGGCACAGTAAAAAGCTCAAGATTTTCTAAGCCATTTTCGTGATTCTGGGGACTTCACTTTTGAATTCTCTGGGTTAGTAAAATTAATTCGATAATTTTCAAGATTTCTTGCTGTGATTTAACCGTCTCCATTGTTGTCCCCACCCATCACGACCAAGTTCTGAAAGCGTTGCTTTTCCCCTTGTTCTTTTGGCTATTACAAATAACAAGTGGCCTATACCTACGTGCTAAAAATAACAAAAGGCGTATTTCAAGCTTACCCACAAACTTCTGTGGGGTGGAGCTTTTACGCTTTCCCATGTTGCTTGTCAGCTTCTCTATAACAGCAGGTCTCTCAAAAGGCACCAGAGAAATATTGTTGTCCATCACAGGCTCTTGTTCCTTACAATCTTCCATAGGAGGTACTACATAAAACCAAAAAATCGTATCAGACAAGTCTGGTCTACACTTCACAGACAACACAAATCATTTGAGCCCTGCTGATTGCGCAACAAGTGCAACACAAAACAAAGCAAGGTGTGGGAACACACTGGGCATCAAGATAGCATTCACTTTTAAGCAGAGCCACGTTTACAAAATGCTTCTGTTTGGGACCATCTTATTTATCAGAAGCACGACTTTAAGAATTTATTAAAGGGCTTCTTGTGTTCTGACTACTCAAGATCCCCAGTGAGGAGGGGACACTTGAAAACTCACTCTGTAGATGACATTTTCCGTTATTCTCCCTTCAATACGGTCACCTGTTGCCAATGTAACTTTTCAGTTATCATTCTTTGTGTAAACTCCACACTTATCATATGGCACGCTTACCATTCTTATTCTCTTCTCATGCTAATCTCAACGACTGAAAAACATACAAGGCATTGATGACTTGTGTTTCCTGGGCCTGGCTGTGCATTCCCCAAGACTCCCGGAATGAAGGATCCATTTGTTAAACCATGTTTCCTCTTTCTATACATGAGATTGTAAAATCAACAAACGCTGTACTGGAATTACAGGATTAACATCATATGGAAATTCCTTTCAGAATCAGTTGCAGAAACTATCAAATGTTTGATTAATATTTTGTCCCTTCAAACACGGACCTAACAACCAGTGAAATCATGTCTTCTCTGTCTTCCCACTTTTTCAGATCAGCAAAGTGCATCCCTGTGCTAACTACATTAGGGGAATACTCATACACTGTCTTTGAGACAATAACGAGAAATTAATGACCCCTTCAGTCTTTACTCATTTCACTCTTTGTTGCTTGTTGGGTTAGGGAATTAGGAGCTACAGCAAAAAAAGTACAGAAATTGCATGGGCTACCAACCAGCGTAGCGACTGACTCGCACAGGGTTTTATGTCACTTGCTGAAACAGCTACCCACTAAATACCTACACAGTACTCCATTTTTGTTCAGCATCCTCTTGCAAACACCAAGAAAGGTCAGTGGTACCATGCTGTGGATCGGGCTCAGAGAACTCAAGGCATAGGGTGGTAAAACACTGGAACAGGTTGCCCAGAGAAGCTGTGGCTGCCTCATCCCTGGAAGTGTTCAAGGCCAGGTTGGATGAGGCTTTGGACAACCTGGTGTAGTGGAGGATGTCCCTGCCCATGGCAGGGGGGTTGGAACTGAATGATTTTTAAGGTCCCTTCCAACCCAAACCATTCTATGATTCCATGATTTCCAGTATACGTCAAAAGTGTGATTCCACGTGCAGCTCTTCCTACTGCTTTGTTTCCATGAATTTAATACTTGGACTAACTGTCCCACATTCATCTTTGTCAGGTAGCAAGAGAAACCTGAGAAGGAGCAGTGACTATTCCATGTGCTACTGGGATGGTTGAGGTGTAAAAAAATTATTTGAGGAGAAGAACAGACAGCAGAGAAACAGAAACCGGGATGATCTTGCAAAGACTTCCTACAATTTGTAAACTGTGAGCAACCGATTGCATTCTCTGTATTAGATGAGTCTTCCAGAGAAGTCACGGGTGGTATTGCAGAGGTAGTAGAGGAGGACTGAAACCCACATCTTGTGCTACTCCTCCTCTCGTCTCTCAGTGCAGCAGCCTTTCGTGTCACAGATACCCTCTCCCTGAGACTGTGCCATAAATGAACACCACTAGCCTACTTTCCTCCCTTGTAACTTTACTGCCTTCAGGATCCTAATATGGAATAATCACTCCCCTGTTCTTAAACATGCAGCTGTTTGCTAGCACATAATATATGAAAAATGGGGTGATAAAAGCATTGTCTTTGCCTTCTTTCTAGTAAGGAGGAGCAAATACCAGGCAATTACAAAACAGAGTATCTGCTCAGGTGAACTTCTCAATTCAGACACTCATAAGAAGAAAACATGGCAATTTATTCATCTGATTCCATTTGTGCCTCTGCTGCTACGGAAAGCTGAGTACTTGGAGGCTTAGAATCTACCATATGCTATAAAATGATTTACTCTGCAGCTTTTTTATTTGTACATGATGCTCCCCCTGAGAAACACAATGGTTTCTCATTTACAAGGCAGTCCTGCTGGCATCAGTGAAAGAGAGGAAGAAAAAGCACAAATACGAAATGAATCTAAGATTGCAACCAAACGGGACGCAGTGTCTGAGTGACCTAATTAATGCCCAGTGCAGACTGGGAGGTCTGGAATACTTCAATAGCTAAGGCTAAATTTTTAAGGTTATTTAAATACTGTGCTTGGTCAGAAGCTATCTCCACTAGTTCCACTCAAATATTTATCGAGAAGAATGTGTAAGAAAGGAAAGATTACGTCTGTTGATTTTCACTGGCAACTGGTGTCTGACTGTCCTTTTGGCTTACCAAAAATCAGCACATGCACACACTTTGCATGAAACCCCGCATCCCTGCTCAGCAGCAATACCCACCCTCGCTGCCATGGGCCAGGTTTGCACGCCAGAGTCACTTCAAAAATTCCCAGCTGTTGGTGTACACGGCACACGAGGCTGGTGGTGGGGTCCTAGGGAGGTGCAGAGGGCTCTAAATCCCTCCTAGGAAGATTTCCTAAAGGTATGCTGGCTTTGTAGGGCTGTACTTGCCCAAAAAATCAGTTGAAAACCTCCTGATTACTTTCATAGCTGATTAAGCCCCAAAAGTGGTGACATTTGTATGTCTTATAACAATTAAGTAATAAGTAAATAATTCTACTGTTGTGCATACGTGTGTAAAATTTCCTAGATAGAATTTGAAACTTTTCTTCCATGAAAAATGAATAGTGCTAAAAAAGACATCTGCTCTTCTCTATGTCAGGCAAAAATCCTGCCTGGACTCCTTCTAAAAGTAAAATCATCACCAATAAAAGCATTTTCTTTTCTATCTTTCATGCTGCAAGCTCTTTATTCCCACCTCAGAACTCAACTCTATAATCCAGGGCACGGTGAATCACTGAATCACGCAAATGTTTGTGTTACGATGGGAATAAGTTACTGGAGTGTGTTTTGTTGTGTAGATTTCCTGGGAGAAGGGAGAGATGGAAATAGCTTAGTTTCAGAAACCATTGAAATCGCATGCAAAACTAGACCAAACAGGTGAGATGTCACATTTTAGAAACCCAGAGTTAAGCTAAAGATCACCTTGCGAATTCTAGATACATTAATTTTCATTTCAATTTTAAAATATACAAATAAAGGACAAATAGCCCAGCCTGCTTTTTTTTTTTTTTTGAGGAAAAACGAAATAAAAAAGGGGAAAAGCAAACTGATCACACACAACCAACAGTTACCAGAAATCAGCTGCTCTGTGGTAGAAGCTCGTGTGTACACATTTACTCTGCCGTAAACGCAATTCTTTTTTTTTTGTTGTATTTTCTTGTACTTCAATTACCTTGCTAGTGGGAGCTGCCGAGAAACAGCTGACACATTATAACTAGCTTTGATACAGCAACTCATTTTAGGCAGTCAATTTATGGTCTCAGCTCATGAAGGCTTTTTTTTTTAATCTAAAAATCAAGTGTCTAGTCCATGACAAGCCCACGCTTGAGTACGTTTCTCTTCAAGGATGTTCTTCATCAGCTATCAGGCTGCGCTCCTAGGCTGCCCATGCAAACATCCACCATCATGTCCTCAACTGCAGTTTACACCAAGTGTTGTTTCTAAACCCAGACTCTCAATACACAAACCTGGATGCTCTTCAGAACAAAGTCTTTATTCTCCTGAAGACATCGGTCTTTCCATCATAGTGCTCAAAGCAGGTATCTTTGAGTTTTTGCTTCTTAGTTTGTAAGAAACCACATACACTGGTAAAAAAAGTTTATGCTGTTCCAGTGAGGAAAGAATAGGGGGAGAAAAAGAAGTCAAAAAAGCACCCAGTATGTGTTTTGCTGATAAATACTTCTATGTGCAGACAACAGACACTGGGCTAAGTCTCAGCTGGTATAAATTAGTATTACTCCATCAACCTCAATTTCCTTTCCTGAGCTCACAAATTGCTATTTTAAAAAGTGTGTGCGTGCAGAGAAATGACAGGAAATATTCCCATGGACCCTGGTGTGAAGTCTCCTGTGGGATCAGCATTTTAATGATGTTTTAAGCAACTATGTAAGAGGGAAGGACACAAGGCCATTGTGTGTTTTATGTGGAGCTGGCCTTTGAGCCTGGCACAGCCTAGGGCTGGGCTTCTTTCTCCTTCTCCACTCTACTTGAAGAATTTCCCTGGATTTTGTACTTTGTGGAGATGGAGAACACCACACCAGGTGCAAACCATAGCTGGCATTCAACTTTTCTCCCTATTCCTTCCTATAAAGATCATGTTCATTCGGAGAGCGTCACTTTTGTCACCCCCGACACGCCGCTGGCTCGGAGACCGCAGACTAATTTCTACCTCCGGGGCCAGCACTGCTTAGCTGAAACTGGCCAACAACAAAGTCCTGGGACCTCTCTTGCAGCAGCCGTGGTGCTGAGCAGGGAGCAGGACCCAGCCACGAGGAGGGGCAGCTCCGCAGCCAACTGGCACCCGGAGAGAGGATGGAGAGAGACCCGCAGACGTGTACATTCCTACCCACACACCGAAACTAGCCCTCCTTCCCCTCCTCTCGCTTCCCCCTGTGGCTTTAGTCAGGTGATCTAGCTGCCTGCAACACAAAGATAATTGAAATTAAAGGCCTCCTCAGGCCCAGCAAAAGCACCCAAGTAGATGTTTGTAGCGTGACTATACACTGATCAACTCGAGCACCACGCTTCAAGAAAATCCAAACTCTCTACAGGCTGCCTCCAGTTTTCTAGAACAATTAATCTCTGCCAAAATCATTTAGACTGATGTTAAACGTTGGCCATATTGGGTGAGACCCAGCACAGCCACCTGTGTCTTTACAGCAGGATGTTGGCAGGGATAAGAAAATTCCCATCTCTACCTATTCCGTGCAAAATGGTGAAGTTGTGATCAGGAGACACACCGAAATGCATGCGTAGGCTTCAAAACACTCGGCAAGAATAAAATGCTTTAAAAGTATTTGGGAAGAGAGTTAGGAAAACTTAACCCCAACACGATGCAAAATAAACCAATGATTAAAATCTCCAAAGCAACCACTCACTCATCCTCAGGAATACCTGTTCCATGTGTGACATGGGAGAGAAGGGAAATTAATACATTTTTCAGGGTTAGACTAAGACCTAACTTTTAACCTGAGTAATCATTTGTATACTGTTCCCTGGTGTCTTTATAGTGCCAGGAGAAAGGACTTTGCCTGCAGACCTCTACAGGTTGATGCTCATGACCCTCACTCCCAGGCTGAGCGTCATGGGTGGGAGTGATGCTGGGATGCAAGGTGAGGTTTATTACTGGTCTCAGCTGAATTTGGAGCTTCCTGTCGCTGCCCGTCCTCGTTACACCCTTGCTGAAGAGCACAGTGAAGACAGTGGATCAAACATCTCTTAAACGTTCACCAGGGGAGATTTGGGCATATTTGCCCAGAGGAGAAAGAGGCACTAGTTGAATTCAAAGCGCTGTTTTAAGCTAATTTTGCTGAGAAAAGTAAAGTGGTTGTGTGAACATTTCTATTTTAAGCCCAGTCAGGCTGTAAATAAAAGAACTGTCCACATGGGGTTTGCACCGGTTTAACTCCAGTTGGTAGAAAAATCAATGCAAGGTCAACCATTCCAGCTTCTTTGGGTAGACATGGACTTACCCTTCTTGTCATAGCACTAAGTGGCTGAGAAAAAGCTTTAGATTTCCTCAGCAGTACACTATCAACCAGAGTAACCCAAATTTTAATAAATAACTGAATAATAAATCCACAAGTTGACTGGAATTTGGAAAGATCCTCCACAACGCGATCTCTGAAACATATCCTGGCTGTCATAGCTATATCAGCCTACTCTTACTCCCCTACGGAAAGGCTGATGGAAATCATCACCTCGCTGGTTAACAAGACAGACACACTCTTGTAGAGCAGCGAGCACGTGTTTTGTCAGGAATGGAGCCGGTGGTTAAACTCTGACTACCAACTAAGGGCTCCATCTAACAGATCAAGCCCAAAACAGGTTCCTGCAAATGGCAAAGCCCTGAAATCAGTCTTTCCACTGACTTTTACAGGCCTAAAGCAGATACTCGCTAACTTTGATGTCTTTCAAGTCATCCGTTACAATTTAAATGTTGATTTCAGTCTCGGGGTGCCTACAAAGACAGCAATTACTCAATAGAGCTGTATGAATGTTTTGGCAATATGTATTAAATCTATTTATAATGCCTTTATAGGATTAATTGTTCACAGAAAAGTACTCTAAAATTTTTTGGTGATTTTTTTTCACCAAAAAATAGCCCATATTAGAAATCCTGAACAGATTTTATTTCAGTTTGTATTTTTAGAGATGACCTTTTGGGACTTTTACGTAATTAATTTCCAAATGAAGCCGTACAACTCCACTCAACAATGAAAAGCAAAATAGAAAACAAAAAAAAGAGGAAATGTTCCACCTTTTCATTTACCTACAATCTAACCTTTTCGTATTCTTAGGTATATGGTAATTTTTAATCAAAACGAAAAATGCATAATTTTTATATTTTCTAGTAAGAAATTTTAAACACTTCAAGTACTAAACATCTAAAGACAACTTTTAAAAGTTAAAAGATGTTAAGTTTTAGAAGAGTTTCTGAAACACTAATTTTGAATGAAATTGTAACAGTTTTTGGACAGCTACCGTTCAGCATTTAGTGCTACAGACGAGCCTACAACCCTGCAGTCTGAGACGTTATGCTCATTATCCATACTAATAGTTACAGAAATTTTCGAAAACAAATTCACAGAGTTTGACATTTCTTGCTTTCAACAATCTTTTTGGCAATCTTCAGTCTTTAAGTATATTAACACATGCAGTGTTAGTTAACATATTAATACTAAGACATGTAAATGCATATAAACATTTTTCTTGGTTATAATTACTTTCATCAACACTGTTGAATTCTATTCTGCTCTGAAGACTTTTATATCTATCCCTCCCTTTTTTGGGGATATAAGATAATTTCACAAGGAGTGGAAATAACGACTTCTGAATACCTCCACCATCGTTATCTTTAATAATTATCAGTCACTATCAGAAAGGAAGGGGAAGAGAATAATAGATTTTATACATGCCTTAGTTCATTTTTAGGATAACTTTGCACGGGTGTCTTTGCTTTATTTTCATGTCTGCATATTTATACATGCTAAAAACCGAAATATTGACTTTAAAAAAGAAAATCAGCAAAATAAGTGCTGTTAAATTGGCCAGAGTGAGCATTTTAGCCTATCTTTCTCCTCCTGCCTATCTGAGTATAAGTGATCAATAAGATGGAAGTGATGCAAAGCTGAAAGGAAGGAAGAAAAACGGAAGAGAAAAAAAAAAAACCCGCAAGAGATGCTCCAAGTCCAAAAGACCTCAAAAGGCGGTTTCCACCCACCGTGGTGACTCATGACCTGCCCCGCAGCCTCCATACTGACATTCTGCAGATAGTTGTGGCAGCGTTCCTTGTGCTCCTCCAGCGAGCTGCGCTGCTTGTAGCTCCGGCCGCAGTAGTTGCACTTGTGAGGCTTCCCCACTGCAGAAAGAACGAGAGCATCAGGTCAAATCCACTGCAACCCACTTTTTGCTAAAAAAAAAATAAATAAAAAAATCTCACACCTTTGCAACAAACAACTCCTGCAATGGAAAGACACCTAAGAAAGGTTACTCAAGTGCCAGAGCTTTTTCCCAGCCCCATTTTCCCACCACACACACCTCCTCCCACCCGCCGGGTACTTCACCCCATCCGTTTTTCACACTAACGCGCAGCATCAGCAGAAGGAAAAAGAGGCGGACTTGTTGGTCGCAAAGCAAATAAACAGATGACAAAAGGGGAAAACAAACCAAACAGCTGAATCACACCCCAGCACTGCCTGTGTGCCACCAAGTCTCGTGGGAAAGAAACTTCTGAGACGTTTTGCCCACGGTACGAACAGTTGCCTTCACAAAAACGGACTGCCCCAGTGGCCTAATTCTGCTCCCAACTGTGGGGAAACCCATTACGTGGCCCAGAGGAGTTCTTTCGTTGAGGCAGCTTTGCCAAAATTGCTAAGGGAAGGTTGGAAAAGAAAAGACAACAGAAAATAACTTGGGTAACAGCGCTGTTACATGCCAGAACTGAGCTGTCATCAGTAACTCATAAAGACTGGATAATATTAAAATATATACAACATAAATATATATATATTAAAAATATAAAAGACAATGTACAATTAAAATCAAGCCAGATGAACACAAGACATAACTCCAATTTTTAAATATTTTTTTTGTTTGCTTCACTCAGCAGCGTTATGAACAAATGGCAAATGCTCCTTAATACATGCAAAACCTGGCACCAGATTCTCCTAAAGTATATCCCTTTCGTAGCATGTCATTAAGAAACCACAAGAACGGCCTAACCCAAGGCCAGAAAGCTAGCCAGAAGTGTATTTTGCCAAGCCGTGCTAATAAAGGTTTTTAATATAATTTAAACTTGTACAACATCAACATTTATCCTGTAATAACTAAAGAGCTATTAAGTCAGTACTGCAAGTCTAGTAAAACACCACCGGCTGCGATTTTCAGAGTTGGCTGAGAGATAGGGAAGGTCAAACAACTTAGAGAGTTTTGAAAATCTTAGGCAAGAATTTCGGTTTCCGGCCAAAGAAATTGAGAACGTCCTCTGTTGGATAATATAAGTGTTTCTGTTGGGTTTGTCCCAACATTGAAAGCTTTCCATGGTCATTTACTTAATGAAATCCAAGCTGTATTAATTGTAGCCAAAATGCACCGTCACCACTAGGATGGGAAAATACAGGGGAAACTGCAAGGAGGAAACACGTAGCCAAGGAGAAGCCAGGCAGAGGGTTCCTTGTGTTTGGGCCGAAGCCCCAATCATCAACGACCCAGAGTGAGAGAAATTCTCTGGTGCAGGACTAGCATATACCCCAGTGTGTGCCCCACCTCACCCATATGATGGAAGACGAAAAAGCCCGTGCCTCCATGCTTGCAGAAAGTTTCTGTTTTTCTCAAAAAATATGTTTGTGCATGCAGTTCAGTGACACAACCAAGTTCTCCACCGAGGAAAAAAAAAAAAAAGCTGCTTTTAATAAGTGTCCAAACTGGGGATTTATTTCTCTTTATTTAGAGAGGTAAGGCTTATCCTCAAGAAAGCATTGTGTCTTCAGCCAGACAGTTGCTGTGGTCTTTATTTCCTTCTGCTCGCTAGCTTACGCTGTTGCTGTAACTGGCATTGGTACTGGGAATCTCAGTGGAGACCAAGTGTGAGGCTCATTATCGTTCCCAGAGTAATTGCCCCTGATGTGAACGAGCTGGATCAAGCCTCAGCTCTTAAACATACACCAGCTGTCTCATTCTGGAAGCACCTTCAGGAAAACAGACTGGCAGCTCCCTAGGATGGAAAGACTTTTATCATCACCATTACAATGCTCCGTCATGCACCTAGATGGCATCAATGCCTGTCAGTCTGGCAGCCTTATTAGAAGCTAACTTGGTGTCCGATCACAAAAAATCCAACGCGATTGAAGGGATTAAGTTAACTGAGCTGAAGCAGGGCTGAAATAGCCCACCAGGTATGGCCACACCAGGTTATCGAGCAACTCAGATCAACTGTAAGACACAAGGAAAAGGGATGACTACTTTCAGCTATTCCAGAGGTAGCTCCAACTAAATATATTATCATTTGGCAGAGAGAAACATATTCCCCTACAAGCTCGCAGAACAAAAAACTGATTCAACAACCAAAAACCAGTTGGTACTACACCTCTCCAAACATTTACTCCCTGCATTGCAACAACTTCACGAACTATTCACACGCAACAAGGCCGAGCTTTTCCAATGATGGTCTGCTATCCAAATTCCATCAAATTTCAAGGTTCATAGAGATGATAAAAGCTAATGGTAACGGCCCGATTTCTACACGCAATATGAGATTTGAGGAACATAACTCCCCAAGGAAAGAAATACTCCAGCACACAGGCTCCTTCCTCTGGGGAGGAGATAAGGGAATAAACAACATGTGACAAAGGAGGCTTTGAGCAAGCTGATCTAGTGGAGGGTGTCCCTGCCCATGGCAGGGGGGTTGGAACTGGATGATCTTTAAGGTCCCTTCCAACTCAAACCATTCTAAGATTCTATGAAATGTTAGTCATGTTGTCTAATACATAACTGGAAGCTGCTCAGACACATCTGTGAAGAACGAAGTTTGTAAGCTCTGGTTGAGTGGAATCAACTACAACTCCCTTGGGTTCATTTCCAAATTCTGTCCCCCTTGCTCTACGGATGCAATCGTATCACAGCCCCACACATGTAAAATCTTATTTATACTATAAAATTATACAAAGTGACTGTGACTTGAGTTGCAGCAGAATTGATCAGGTCAGATCAGAACGGAATCGGTTCTGATGGCAGCAGTTTGTGTCACCAGCAATTCTCACAGCCCATTTGGGAAGAGGTGCAGCTAGCCCGGGTAGCAATTACGGTCTGGATTTTAGAAACCTTGTTGTTCTGACAAACCTCAGGTCATTGAAATAGCTTCAGATTTCCCCTCGTATTCTCAAAGTAACTGATGACAAAAAAAACATATTTGTGAACGTGAACGTTGCCAGTGGGTGTACATTTTTCCATATTTCATGTTACCCAACAGAAAGACGTAAAAGTGTACATGAGAATTCAATTCCGGTGATCTCCTCAACAGCATACTTTGTTCCACATAACAAACCACTGTATAAAGCCACCCGACTGCCAAGAGAGATTTCAGCCTTTGTCAAATACTGTGTAGTAGGTAAACATTCATAGCCAAAATTTGCCCCCAAAACATGTGGCTTGCACTACTGGGCACAAGCAGTCTTGGTCTATAGGCCATTGACTTGAAGGCAAAGAGTTCAACAGTGCTATAAGCCTACCAAAACCCTCTCCAAGCCCCCACTGAAGGCAGCTCTTTCCACCACGGAGTCATTTCCATAGAGCCATTTTCACTGTGAGGGCACTCGAAGTTTGGCTCAGCTTCCTTGGCATGAAGTGGCCTTCTCTGAGATCCTCACTGAAGACCACAGTACAAGGACACCACGTTGGCATTGTACATAACCACCTCTGCCAGTGGTAGTGGCACCCAAGCAACGTCAGTCTGGAAATCCCTGGCTTGGGGTAATTATTCCTTTACCACCTTTTTGGAGTAAGCAATCAGATAAAAAATTACCATCACTCATTCTCATAGAAATGACACAATACAATAAACGCAAACAAGCCCAAAATCTTGAGAAATCTTCGATCTGTTGTTGAACTGGGAAAGACCAGGGCACTGGGCAAAACCCAGCGGCCATACCTACGAAACAGCTAACTTGGAGAATATAAAAAAACACTTTATATTTCTTACTAAAATGTCAGAATTTCCACGCGTTTAAGCTCAGATTCGTGCAGATGACAATGTGGCACAGAAAACCCACAGTGGAGTCTCAGCCTCAAATGGAAAATATTATGACAGTCACAGTGAAAAATACATTTAAATTTGAAGTACAATTTTTACCATGAAACAGGTAGACCACTCGTTGAAATTCACAGGGAAACGGAGTCTGCTTGTGAAATTGAAATGGTTATGTGGAGGGAGGAGGGGGAAGAGGAGGAAGACATAAAAGGCAAGACGTTTGAGTTAGGAATACTTTGAGTCCTGTGGGTGAACTTTGATAGCTGAGAAGTCTGCGTGCAGCGACAATGAGGTGGTGAAACTCTAAGGTCAATATTCAAGACAGAAAGCAGACTTGGGCCTAGGGAAACTTCTTTAAAGTCATAAAAAAAGGTCAGTGAAAGAGAAAGAGCCCGTAAGGCATTCGTGCAGCATTTTGTTCTCAAAAGAGATGGGAGTGCACAGCAGAATATAAAGTAAGTCAAAGGGAAATAACAAGGCATCCCAAGTAATACCTTGCCATAAGCATATAACGTGAGAAAGGCTTATAGAACAGGTTAAGGCAATGATGCACTTGACTGAGCTAAAATCCTGCCTCCATTAAGACCAGTAACAAAACACGCACTGGTTCTAGCAGTCAGGATTAACTACTCCATTTCCCTGTTTCGGGTACCACATTCTCCTCTGCCAGCAGCGCAGAGCTGAGCTCCTTCTCATCCACCTGCCCATGCTCCGAGTCCCTGCAACATCTCAACTCACGTGACCCAATCACACAGGAAAGGGCATTACTATGGCCGTGCGATGTACGTCAGCCCAATCCAAGGAGTAGAGACTTTCCACCAAGCTTTGTACCAGACTTTTATTATTCTCGCATTATTGCTCCACCAGGGCCTTGGAAGGGAAGCCAGCCAAGATTTCCAAACTAAGTGGCCATCTGACGTAGCTACTCTCGGTCTGAGGAGGTCCCTCTGATAGCAGCGCACCAAGCATGACTTATTTCTGTAAAATCTGAACTCCCACTTGGCCCCTAGCACCCTGGAGCCAGAGGAAACCCCAGTACTCTCCAACTGGAACCTTCTGAAGCAGCATCGAAGAAGTTAAAATGTTTTTTTGGGCTGATACTTACACCTCTCAGT